TGTGAGTGCAGTCTGATACAGGATTTGATCATAACGCAGCTAACAGTTTGGACACACTGACTTCATGCAGTTTTAAGTTCAATGTCCATTAGTTTGGAATATTCATGATAACAGCAAGCAAAGGTGGTTTAGTACTTGGTTTGTCTCATTGGCAGTATATTGCTGCAATCACAGCAGTGTGTTGATATGACTCAAACATTTCTAGTACTTTGAAATTATCAAACGTTTCTAATCTAGTAGTAATGCAGAAGTACTAAAAATTTTACTGTAATGTGCTTTAATTTTACTTGTGTGCTTTCACCTCTCATTAACACTATTATATTTACCAAGGAACACCATTTATCTTATTTCAGAAGCAACAACCTCCACAGTCTAATTCATTGATATGCAAATTCCACACTACTTAAAACTCTGAGAGTCAGCACAAGGCATTTACATTTCCAGAAACAAACACTTTTACCAGTACAATATTTTTAATCCAAGAACTAAGAGAGTTTCAGCAGTTACAGAAACTAATTCATCAAAACAAAAATGTTTAAAATATTCCACCGTGCTTTTCATGAAACTCTGACATCATGCTGCTGCTGCAGGGATATGAACACTTAGATAAGGTTCTGAGAAAGAAACAGGTGATTACCTGAACTTTTTGCAAGTGTATGACCAGTTAAGCATTTTAAAAGGGCAACTTGAATTTTTCAGAAGCTAATTTCTTTGCAAACTTACCCCACGAGCATTAAGGCTTTCCTTAGCCTTCCCTCTTTGTAGCAGTGCTGAAGCACAGGTGCAAAGCAGCAAAACAGAACCTCAGTATCACCAGCTGTTATTGTCCACAGTTTTTTCATACAATACGATCCCTCTGCACAGTCAAGAAACCATAACACTCAAGCCTCATGAAGGTACTGCAGCGAAGACACTCACTAGCAGCACGTGAAATCTATTTTTGCAGAGCTTTTTCATTCAGTTACATCATGTTGCACAGTGTCCCAGAAGGGCAGCTCTGTATTCACAGATGCTGTACTTTGACACGCGTTGCTTTCAGCACTTAGCATTTCACACGGTGACTTCACTTACACCCAGCAGCAAACGGACTTCTTTGTACAAAATTAAAATTCATGTTAGGTCAAGGCAGATGAAAACACTGCCAGCCCACAAACTATACGACAAAGATGCTTGGATTTTTCACACATCTTCACTACCAGAACCTTCAGCCTATCTTTCTCAGTAGTTTAATGCTTGAAAACTTGGCAACTTGGACCTATATATATATTTGCTGGGAATTAATATCAACATCAAGAAAACCTCCTTAAAACTAAGGAGTTCAATACATTGTAAAAAATACTAGCATCATTTTATGGAACGGGCACAAGAAATGTCTGGCTCCTATCTTGGCAAATAACACAAGGAAGACACACAGAAGATGCAAATAAATTAATTTCTGGGTCCTTAAAACCAATGTGGAAACAAAACCATCTTTTTTTCCAAATTAAAATTCATATCTTTAACACCAGAAATCTGGAGTCTCAAAAAGATAAAATCTGTATCTTCACAAACATCTACTTAAAAACCCCTTAGCTTTTAGTAACTATGAAAAATATATAAATCATTAAGTTATGGATTTCTCTATCTCCTCGTTCATAGGAATATCAGTAATGCAATGGAATGGAACAAAGATGGCCAAGACAGAAGAAAGATCAAAATGATATATCGCAACAGGCACTGAATCTACTCTCCTAGAATGTACTGGGGTCCTCTCCTAACAATTTCTCCAAAGGCTGATTGCACCTGATGACCTATACCAAAAATATGTCAAAACACAACAATAAAAATAGTCAATCTTATTCTGAAAAGCCTTCTCAAATATTTGCTGGAACACTGTTTAACACAACTAGGTCTATAACAATGCTGTTGTGTCTGTGCATCTGCAAATCACGCTGCACATACACAAAGAAACAAGCATGAAACTGCATCCAATGACTAAACTTACATTTGGAAATCATACATTGTGTCACTTGTGAGCGTAGTCTGGGAATCCTACAGTAGAAGTTCAACTGCAAATTCAACTTGTTCCAAGTGTAGAACAAGCTTAAAATTGCTGAAATGTCACTTTGATCTACTTAAACTCCGAGACAAAACTTTTTAGGGGAAAAAAAACAATCAACAAACCGCAAACTAAAAAAAAACCCAAACCAAACCAGACAAAAAAAAACGACAAAAACCAGAACCAACCCAACAGGCCAAACCAACCCCAATGACATTTTGATTTTGAGTTCGCAAGGAAGACACTGAGTACACTGGGATATAACATGACTTTGGGGGTTAAGTACACAGAATTTAGAGATGCCAGTCCAGGTGTGCTAAACACTTGTCCTTTAGATCAGTCTCCAAATCAACCCTAGATACCTGATGAGTAGTGCACAAAACAAATAAAGAATATACAAATCAGCTGTGATCTAACTGCAAGCATTCAAAGATTTTTTTTTTTTTTCCTTGCTTCTTTGCTCTCTAAATATTTACAGAAAAACAGTATCATTGTTACTGGAAAGCCATCTATATTAGCTGGGTTTTTTTCCTTTAAATTATAACCCTATTATATCCCAACAGGTTGTTCTGAAAGTGACTGAAACACTGAGATTTACTACATGCAAGGATCAAGAGTGGCAACAGATAAATGGTTACAAAACCATTCAGAACGCATTTTCAAGTAGTCTTCCTAAATAAAAAAGGCTGGTGGACCGTGAAGAAGACATGGAAGTGAAGATACATGTTTAGGGATTCAGCACAAATCCCACCCAGTTGCGTAAAGAATAAGCATGGCTGAAAGAGCTGGTGAAACTGGACCTCCGAGAAGCAGATGGCACGCTGGGACCTGAAAATTTCACGACAATTGAGAGCACAGGAGGCCCATGAAAGAAGTAAGTGGAGGAAACTGGTAAGGTCTGTGTACTGTGTGTAAATACTGTATATAAATCTCACTAACAGGCAATAAGACAGACATTTCCTCAAATACTTAAAAAACTAAATCCATACAACTAGTGGGATTTTCTTGCACACCAGGAAAATGCGAGCTGCCCAACAGCTATTGTAAAAGGTCACGTTTATGAACTGAACAAATGAAAAATGACTGCATTTGCCCAAGTACACTGACCTGACTCTAAAAATACAAGAGAAACGCTTCAAGACAGACTGGGAGAGTTTCCACCATAAGTTAAACCATACAAAAAAATCCATTGGAAACACACTAGGTGAACAATAATTCAACCTGAGAAAGACAGAGAGCAAATATAAATTGGAAGCTAATGTCACCTGTATGAAACACATGTTCACAGCACTACATTAGGATGTTTGCAGTATTTACTTTTTAATCTTCTTTCATGAGCAATGAGAAAAATTTCTGGTGAGGATATAGGACTGTGGCCAGTCTATTAAAATCCAAAGTTTACATGATATAATAATGAAATAAAAAGAAGAGCATCATTGGATGTAAAATTCCACTAGAAAGACACTGTTCCATATTTCTTTCCTAATGAATCTTATTTTTTCTAAGATTACTGAAATTGAAACAATACAGATCTGGTTTGTTTCTGAAACAAGTTCTGATTTAGCTTCTGAACTTCTTCCCGTTTAAATCAAAAGGAAAACTTGTCAGGTTATTTTTCTTAAATGTCATTTTCAGACATAAACGACAAATTTTATAAAAGGACTACTAACATTAGAAATTCTACCTAAATTAAAAATCTCACTCAGAGTTTATATTAATATGTCCACTCACAAGTTTAACAAAAATCCAATTCTTAACCTATCACAATCGCCTGGACTTCAAGTCAAACTAACGGGTACCCTTAGCTGATACATGGTTGACGGTGCCTGGAAGAAAGTACATTTACTGCTTGACAGCCATTTTCAGGTATTGTTGGCAAATACACGACTGAAGTCCTACTGTTAAATCATTTATCTTTCACCACTCTTTTTCTCTCTTCTGTCCCCCAAACGCGTTACATTTTAAAACCTCAGACGCATTTTGTGAGTTGATATTTTCACTTCCTGTGACCCACACGGCATCACGTCCCTGCTTTTTAGCACCACCATGAAGTGGTCCCAACATACACATTTGCCTGATCGCTGGGCCTTGCAAAAGCGGCCGTTTGCCTTACAGACAACGTGCCCTTCCTTGGCCTCATTTCATTAATTGGGATTCTGCAACGTACGTCTGTGTTACCACTGCTGCTTCCCGGGTAAGAGCCGTGGTGACAGCTGTGCCGGCAACGCCAAGAAGTCAACACACCTCACAAACGTAAGACACTGGTACAAACTATCAAAAATCCCAACTGATTAAAGTGATACTTTTTTTTTTTTTTAACCATTCCATAAAAGTGTAATATAGACTCCAAGAAAACGTTGCACAAATCTTTAGACAAAGATTTTATCCTCTTACCTCATAAACTCCAAAGGAAAAAAAAAAAAAAAGAAAAAGCAAACTGATAAAACCAGTTGGGTAATACTGGCTGCGCATTTTCCTGGTTTGGAGCGTTATGTAAAACATTAAATACCCTCTAAGTGGGCAAACCAGGTTAGCAGCAAAACGTAAAA